TGGGTCCCCCTCGCAGCGAGGGCGCAACGAGTCGTTTGGCTGATGCAGAGCGTAGTGCACGCGCTGGGGTGTACGGTTTAACCATGTCCTGGATGTACGAAGGGCCAGATCCATTCGCAGCATGGTAAGCAAGTACCAGTGTCTTGAAGTGGATTCTAGCAGTTACCGGAAGCCAGTGAAGGGAGCGGAGGAGCGGAGTAGTGTGGGAGAATTTAGGAAGGTTGAAGACCAGACGAGCCGCTGCATTCTGGATGAGCTGCAGAGGTCGGATGGCACATGCAGGTAGACCAGCCAGGAGGGAGTTGCAGTAGTCTAGGCGTGACATTGTGATGTCATTAATGTCATATATCTGGAAGTGATAGTATCTGCTCACATGTCAAGTTGGGTGTAAATGTAGAGGAGTAGAAAAATGGAAAGTAGGGTTAGGGTTTGGGTTACACACTGTATTAATTGTTATTATCAGGGCTGCACATAACTGGTGCGCAGGTGCGCATGCGCACCTCCGCCAAAAAAAGAGCACCGGGTCATTTGAAACAAAGCGCATTTGCGTACCAACATTGAGAGAGGGAGAGAGAGAAGAGAAAAGAGAAAATAGAGGAGAGAGGAGAGAGGAGAGATGAGAGAGAGAGAAGAGAGAGAGAGAGAAAGATATTTGCGAGTTGCATACATGTATGAACCATGATATGAACTCAGGGTCGGCCCGTAGCACTGGCTAGATGTTCGCCTAGGGCGCCAGATCTGGGGAGTCGCTGCGCTGACAGCTCTGGGAGGGAAAAAAACATTTTGACTGTTGGGGCTCATCCTAATTTTCGGCCTTGATGTAACAATATTCATAATTAAGTAAATGTAACACCCTTTTCACCCCGGTTACACGTTTCATTTGCCCTGTACGATGGGCGCTGTAAGTGATGAAAATGGGGGATGTTGGCTTATCTGGCGCCCGCAGCTCACAGCCAAAATGCGAGGGAGAGAGGGAGGGTGCACCGGTACAGCGCTGTTGTTATTAGAATCTGGTGCCGTGCTAGCTGCTCTAACGGATATAAGAAGAAGATGTTTCTACAATAATGTGGAGGGAGAGTCCTCTCCAGTCAGACTGATAACTACAGCTCAGTGAGGTAAAGGACTCTTAGTCTAAGTTCAAACGGTTTGGTCACAATTTATGTAAACACATATTTCCAAGGCTCTCCTTTATAATTATTGGGATAAACAGGTTTTAAATCATTCCAATGTATACTATAGGACAGTAACTAAAAAATATCCTTTAAAACTGGAGAGATAACAAATAATGCATAAATAAATAAATGTTAAGGTAAAATAAGATATGAATGAACAACACAAATAAAATAAATTACATTCATTTGTTATTGGCTATGGTAGGTTATTGGTTATGTTCACATACTTATTTGATTACATCCACTTGTCTAAGAAGACAACAGAGACTTTCGACCCAAAACCAGCTGTTGACTTGTGGATGCAAGCAGCTAATCGCAGACTCAACCAGAGAGAAAGTAGTAGGCCTACATCATCAGCTACCATGTCTGACAGAGAGGAATACAGTGAGGAGAACAGTCAGGAGGAGTGATGACAGCTTGTAGGATTACTGCTCATGCTAATGTTGTCTTGTGTTCACCTCTGCATGTGTGTTCTGTGTTCACCTCTGCATGTGTGTTCAGTGCCGTGTGTCTGGCAAATAAAGTCAAGACCCCCTCAAAAGTTACGGTTTATTTCATTTTAAGGATGAGCACCAAGCAACATCTCCAGGTGCTCCTTTGAGAACCAGGGAAACAAAGTTATGTGCACCCCTGCTTATTATACTGTTTTTCATCAATATATTATAGGTCTCAGATATATACAAAAATCTCATCAGCTCATTTTCAGAAACTTTCAGGATCTCTTTCCACAGAGGGGACACACGTTGATGTAGAAGAGACATGAAGAAGTGGATTTTGAATAATAGGTGACCTTTAATATAATGTTTCCCATACAATTAATCAGCAACGGTGAATTCGGTTTGGAAATGTAATCAAACATTATTACCGAATGGTTTGACCCCTACAGTATTTTTTCATATGTGTGTATGAAACTAACAAGGTCATGGTGTATTCTCCTGAGAAGATCAACATGTAGAGCAAGGCATTGACAGCGTCAGAGATAGAAGCTCGAATCCCAGTGGAGCTAAACAACATGTATGCACTCTGAAGTCCAGGAGGAGCTCAGCTCAGGGTGAAAGTGCTAGCCCAATGGATAGGGAACAAAAGCCGTAATCCTGGTAAAGACAGAGTTACACAGGATGATTTGAAGATAAAAAAAGTTGTTTGGGGATTTTCAAGGTCACAGGAATACAGAGGTTTTTTCAAATCAAGGCTGTGAACTTTGCAAGGATTCAAGGCTTTAAAGAGTCCGCTCTGCAACGACCAATTCAAAATACAAGATAAGGCAAAGCACGGTCAAAAGGCTAATAGTGTGTCTTTCTGTGAAGTGTTCCAATTACAAGCACCGTGATTTCATTTGGATGTAGAAACTTAGTAGTAAAATAAGTCTACTGCGTGCCTACAGTATGAAGAAAAACCTGTGACTCTTTTTATATTAAATGGCATCGTGCTTCATTTTGAAAAGCCCCTTACACTTGAGATGTCTTGTTTTGTCTGATAAACCCCTCACAACCCAAAGATACTGCATCCTAGGGCAGAAAAACAACCCACAAATATTTAATAATTTAACGTGATATGAAATTGATGAATAGAAGCAGGTCTTTGGATGTTAAGAACCATTGAATATTTAGCGTTTTTGCTTGATAAATAACTGAAAAGGATAACGATCAAGATAGCTTTCTGTTGAGCCTGTATATGATTCATCAGCTAATAATAAAGCCACTAATTCTCTTTTTATTAGTTTACTCTCTAAATGATTAATTAGGATATTACTGAATTAGTCAAACCTTAGCTTTAAGGAACATTTGGAGCTGCAGTATAGGCTAAATAAGTCAAACAATATACCATTAGTGTGTTGTAGTTTACACATGTATTGATGTAAATAGAGAAGGGTGTCCTACTTAGCTGACTGCATATTCGGTCTGTTATTGTTCTGTAATTGGATTTCTTCCCAGATTTCAGGAAAGTCCTTATCTCTTGAACTAACCTTGTATTAGGTTGTGGGCCATATCTGTTAATTAGCAGGTTATTTTACCGTTTCATTTACCTCAAGACTCTCTAAAATGTGAATGAGAAGCTGTAAACATTGGAAAGCTTGACGTTTTCAAGATGCCACATTTCACTGTTTGTTCGATTTAAAGCTGCTTGTTTACAAGTGTTTTGGCAGCAGTGACAGTTTACTCTACTTGTGGCTCAACATTTCCTCTATCCGTATACAATGGATTCTGCTATATTCCTCACATCTACAGACACATCAGAACATGTCTTGGGTGAAAAGCTTCAAAGATGTCAATGCAATGAGAAATAAGTGAAAGGACTGTGAAATACACCAAATCTGCAACATCGTGTGTCGAAGAATCAAAGCATCTGGGGGGTAAAAGCATCTGGGGGGTAAAAGCATCTGGGGTGTAAAAGCATCTGGGGTGTAAAAGCATCTGGGGGGTAAAAGCATCTGGGGGGTAAAAGCATCTGGGGGGTAAAAGCATCTGGGGTGTAAAAGTGCATATTGTAGTTTGTTGGTTTCCTACTGCACTTTAAGTTGTACTTAATTCATGTAACAGTTAGAACAAATTAGCCAAAAAGACGGCTCATCAAGTCAAACTACATATTGGAAGCTGTTTCTACAGCTTTGTTTCCACTCCGCCTAATATTCCTCTTTAGTAAAGTGGCCCTCCTCTGGTGCCGTTTGTGTGTCCCATTTAATTAAGAAGAATCTCTCTCTCTCTCCATCTGTCTTCATCTCTCCTACTCCCTGACACACACACACACACACACACAGAATACATTTACTCTAATAGTGTATTTGAGTATACAATAATGAGGTACTAGTACTTTACCTTGGTATTTTTCCTGCCACTTCTACTCCACTATAGTTTAAAAAAGGGACTACATTATTTGACTACATCTATCCATCTTTCGTTAATTTAACAATCCAGATGTTTGCATGATGAATACAAGAGTTTTACATTTTTTTATATAAATTAATCCAGCCAAAAGTGTTGGACAACAAGACCCGGTCAGCTGCATAATCACTAGCCAAATAAAACTAATAAACAATAATATATATTTTTTTTGTTTAATTATAAGCATCAAGTTTTTTGGGTGTGTCTTTTTTTGCATTGGGTACTTTTACATTATTATTTTAAGTACATTTTGCTGATTATATGAACTACTTACTTTTTAGGTACACTAAGTAACATTTCCAATGCAGGACTTTTACTTGTAACAGAGTATTTCTACATGTTGGTACTAGTAGTTGTACTAAAGAATCTGAATACTTCTTCCAGCACCGCACACACACACACACACACACACACACACACACACACACACACACACACACACACACACACACACACACACACACACACACACACACACACACACACACACACACACACACACACACACACACACACACACACACACACCACACACACACACACACACACACACACACACACACACACACACACACACACACACACACACACCACACACACACACACACACACACACACACACACACACACACACACACACACACACACACACACACACACCACACAACACACACACACACACACACACACACACACACACACACACACACACACACACACACACACACACACACAAAATGAAGTGTTACCAACTCTGTAGCAAGCTAGCTAACTTGCATGCCATTTTGCATTGAAAAGTAGACATCTAGTACCCTAGTTTACACAATTAAATAATTATGGGACTGAACTGAAATGGAAATAAATACAGTTCTCACAACAAAACCATTACAGTTTACCCTTGTGAAACCACGCTAGCAAGAAGTTAAAACATTGAAAAGCATCCTACCTGAAGTAAATCGATTTACTGACACAGCCGTCACCTCTCCATCGTCTTTGCCAGTTTGCATAACGTCCTCGGTCTCCAGATAACGTCTTCTCTCACGAGCTTTTCCTTAATTAGAAAATTAGTAAAAACGGAGGAGTAAATTGTGTCCGTTGGTTATATTTAAAAAAAAGTCACGGTAGTCTGAAAAGGTAATGAACGACGCTCATCAGGTGTTGCTGACAGCACGTGCCTGCAGAGTGCCTGAACCAGCGACCACGCCCACCGCGCGCGGCATCCACGAGACCTCTGATTTGTCCAAACCTGTCCCAAACTGTCCAATGTTAGAGCAGCTGAGAGGATGCGTAGATATTAGTTTAATGGTGGATTAACAGCTATTATAAGTGACACCTGCCACCAGCTGCTTTGCATAGCAGCAGTAACGTGTGCAGGTAAAAGTAAACTGTATGCTATGAGTTTTTCTTTTAAATGGTAAAAACAAATCATTATTTAGCCTATACAACAAGGTAAGTAGGTAGGTAGGTAGTTTGTACCACTTTACAACTTCTTATACAGTTTCATCTACAATTCAAAGTGTTAAATTACGGATACTGTACCTGTAATTTATGTTAAACGTTTAAATAAGCAGCTGGCACATTATAAGCCTAACTCAGCATTTCAATTATTTTTAATAAGATGTTATTTGACTTAGCGATTGATGAACTATTATACAACCTAAAAGGTATGTTTAACATTTGTGATTGTTTGAAAACAAAGTATTACAATTGAAATGTATTACCCATCCATTATTACAGAGGCCAGCTGTCCAAATTGGGATGTTTTTAAGCTGCATGCACCAGCTGTTGAAAGTTTGAATACTCTCATGGGTGCTTTCATTTTTTAATGCAAAGCACCCCGAGTTAGATGTGCTTTATACAGAACACCTTTATGAAAAAACACACTTCTACAAAGGTTGTATCCCAGGGACTTTATCTGATAAAAAATGTATTTGTATCTGTAGGTGGGAGTAAACCCTTTGATCATCGCACTCATTTCACACTTCACATCACAAGTCTACTTTGGTAATCTCTTTGTTGGACTCAGACTGAACTCCAGCTGCTGCATCAACACAGCACTGCCACAGTAATGACTAAATCTGCTTTTTCCAAAAATAGCAATAACAATCAAAGGTCTTGTGTACGTGAGATTTAAAGAAACTCATGCATGCCTTCATCTCCAGCAGTGTGCAACGCGCTCTTATTCTTGATCTTCTCAAAAAGACAACTGCAACACATTTTGACTTCTGCTGCTACAATACAGAGAACCAATAACGACGAGAACATTACACCAGCTCCAAGTTAGTTATATAATCATTGTAAAGCGCTTCTGCTACTTTACACAACAGCCGAAGGCCAAAATATGTTTGTGATTATGATTGACGAATATAAACCCAGTTGGTCCCTTAGATCTCAAGGAAACAGGTTGTTGTGCCTCCAGTCAGAAAGGCACACTTGGTAAAGGTGGATAAAGCTATATGCTGCACACACCTCACGATAAACCCACATTTTTTAAACGTTTTTGATCTTATTCATCCTCTTGCCTTCGATTCATTTCCTCTATTGCTCTTTAATGACATTTGCTTGTGAAACATTTTTAATGGCTTTGAATGTCTTGTGTACAGTCCAGATTGCAAAATAAATAAGCATAAATCTAAATAGGATCAGTAGGAACGTACATTCTAAAAAAAAGCCTTTAACTCAAGATCCACTTACTTGCTTTTATATGATTTCATCAGCATCTTATATATATCCTATATTTAACCAGGTAAAAGACTCATTGAGATTACAATTTCTCTTCTGAAAAAAATTCAGACTGAGTGTAATTGTATCTGTTAAATTACAGTACTTAGTACACACTGTAAACAATTTGTAAGTTATTATAGTGCTGCACACTCTCAGGAACAATGTTTTGGATGTGTATTTGGTGACTACTGTACTGAAAACACACCATTTTTAAATAATATAAATGCTCTAAAATAAAGAAATCACATTGACAGTGAATCCATATTTGTCTGATGGGTAAATAGAACACAGATTTGCTGACTTTGTAGCAGAAACCCGCTCAAGCTCACACACCCAAAAGGGACTGAAATCCATATTTTCTCACTGCACGAAATTCACTATTGCCTGAAAGCACATTAACATTCATCCTTTTCAGCCTGCAGTGATTTCCTTTTCATTTCACTGGCATATCAGTGCTTCTCATCTCCCCTCAGTGTTACCTCCCTCTGAATTGGAGTGAACCCCCCCCTGCTCCTCTGCTTTCCCTAATAAGCCTGAGCGAGATTCCTTGGCAGACAGCTGTTCCAGATGGCATTATGACTCTGTGGTCTCACAGTCAGCGGGCTCAGGATCCACCACCGGCGGAGGTGGCTGTCCCTCCACCGTGCCCATGCGTCAACATCAACACCAACATATGGCGGTGTTATGTAACACTGTATCTTTGGGGTGATCACCCAACAACTTCCCCTCCTTTTCTCAATTTCTTTGCTGGTTCAACTTGACAGAAGCTGGGTTCAAGGACTGTTTTACTTTCTGCAGTATTTATGAATAAAAGCAATACCTATGATAAAGATAGAATATTATATTTTTGGTCTTTTCTTTGAAGTTGATCAATTTACCCGAGATTGCATTTCAATCTGTATTTAAACGTTTTAGCTGTTTTTTATTGTTGGGTTATAAAACCCTAGTGTTTAGAAATGGCAGTAAGTAACAAAAACTATGAATATCGTCATAATGGTAAATGGTGTGTGACAGAAACATGGGCGGCTGAGTTTGCATTTCATGTTGAGGCGGGTGTTTTCAGATGCCAGGAAGACCCTTCATAACCGCTTCTTTTAACGGCCAACTCTTCGCTGAATTTGACCTCTCCATCACACCCAACACATGCCCACAAACCGAACTTCCCAACCGTTCATCAACACACACACTTACAATCCATATGTACACATGCTGACATTCAAAACCTTGCACAAACACATTCAAAATGTCGCACTTGCTTGTGTGATCAGATATAATGCGATGTGTGTGCAATGAATATCCTAATGTATGTACAACACACCACACACTTACAAATACACACTCACAGACGTCACACTCCTCAGTTGGGGCTTACTCTATTGGCTGGTCTTAACTGCTTTGTAGTATTTTTAGGGCTGTTATTCTGGGGCCTGTCCTGGCAGGCCACTGCGAGGGTATATAAGCCTCCCCTGATACTGGGGACCACTGAGAACACACAGTGGAAACATCTCTCCCGACACTCAGCAAACATCCAGCAGGCATTTTAGATCCTCTCAGGGTGAGTAAAAGCCTTTTTGAGGTGTAGCGACAGTTAAATCTAGACCGGGTTCAACCGCTTTCACTTGAGTGTAAATCTGACATTAATCTAGATTTTGGATTTATTCGAATTAAGTATTTGTAGCGAAATCAGTCCAAAAAACAAGATAATTAATGTTTTTTTTCAAAAGAGGTGATACCACTGCTCCTAGTACTAGACTCCTGGTACTAGGATGGGTTAAATGCAGAGAACAAATGTCACTGTGTGTGCTGTGTGCTCTGCATGTGTGACCATTAAAGTGGGTTTCATCCCTCCCAATTCTTCACTTTGGTCGCACTCCAGGAAGGTCAAAGGTCAGCCGCAGCTCTGATAGCACTGAGTTGCAGGCTGAAGGACACTTAAGCTGGGCAGATCTTGCCAACCGTCTGTGTCATCGGTCTGGACGGTTGACGTCTCCACTGTGCTAACCTGTTGACGGTTCATAATAATTGACAATTATTCCACAGATCAGCAAGGTTCAGTCAAAATATGTTGAGCAATTTGGTCACACATGTCGCTCGTTTTTCAGACATGTTGAGTACGGACATCAATCTGCAGGTTCATACAGGAAGTTATAAGGTCATATTAATCTGGTGTTTGACTTTCTTTGCGTCGTTAGCTGTGACAGTGAGTAATGAATCCAACCTTTGCGTTTATTTCTGGTCATGAATAGACATGATTTAATTGCCAATTCATCACTGTCGAACATAGAATGTACTGTATAGATATACTTTCTGCTTCACTCAGTACAGAATGTGTGATCGAGTTATGGATTTTGCCCACAGCTACCATGTTTTTTTTGTAAGATATTGAACAAGGGGCTGAAACCCTACATGCTCACAGGATTAGAAACATTAACTAAAAATATCTCAAAAAAAGAATAACTACTGTCTTTTAATTTGTATCCACCTTCTCTTTGACAAGGACGCCATGCTTCCAGCATAATGTCAGCTAAAGTTGCAATCCAGAAGTTCTCCTTCCCTTCCTCCTGTGTTGCACGCCTTTCTCAGCAAGATGAGTTGACGCAGAAGGGATGTGTACAGGTGAAGGTCCTGGAGCTTTCTGACCTCCAGGCGAATCGAATCCTAAGCAAAGTAGGCTCTGTTGCCGTTATAGGAGCTCTGGTGCATAATGAGAACCAGGCTAAGGAGAGTCCAACGTCTCCTCCTGCTGGAGTCACGGCACCTGCCCAGATCCTGGTCTGTGCTAAAGCTTCCAAGAGTGCTGTGTTCTCCAGGCATAGTGTTTTTGAGAAACTCACGGTTGAGAGTGAAGATCAGCGCCCTGCTGCAAAGAGGCAGCTGTCCTCAGAGAGCGCAGCCAGGACCATCACCGTGGTGAAGAAGAGTGCGGTGAGGACTGAGGTGGAGGAACACAGGCACCTGAAAACTAAAGCACACCCGGGACAGAGGGCGACACCGTGCACTGTGACGGGGGGGAAGAGGAGGCGTCGAAAGGACCTCTTCACCAACTCGGAGGTCTTCAACAGGGTCAACTCACATGTCATCAGAGCAGGAGTAGAGGTGATGATACTCACACAGAACATCTTGGTGTTTATAACATGGAAAGGGGAAATTCAACTTGCCATTCACTCCTTTTCAGTACATACTGAATATGTAACCTCATCCTGTTAAGCTACACACAGCATTGAAGTTAGTTCCTCTCATTTATCCATACTTAAAGCGACAGTTAACTCCAAAATACATTCTTATCCTCTGAGCTTTAGTGCTATTTATTATGCGAAATAAAAGGCTTTGTACTAAAAAAAATACATTTGAAAAAACATCGATGTTTATTTTCAGACATTTTGACTTTTGTGAGGACTTGTATGGAGGCATTATTTTTCTTTCTACCGAAGTAGAAAGGAGAGAAAACTG